GGGGAGAAGCAGGTGCAGCTACTCTTCTGATGGGATAGGGCTTTGAGAAGTTTCCTAGCAGGCCTTCAGGGTACACAGGAGGGTTTGGGCTTTTCTGAGCAAACTTCAGGACCCATAAGGGGTGAGCTGCTACTCTGAGAGTAAGCAAGGGGTTGGGGGTTCTTCCCAGCAGGCCTGTGGGACAAAGGATGCAAGGTGAGCTGCTGCTCTTCGGTAGACAGGAGGCCCAGGGGAGGGAGGCAGGGGAGCTACGGGCCATTCCTAAGCAAGCCTGAAAAGCAGGTATGGCTACTTCAAGGGGTACACAGAACTTTGGAGCTTTCCTAAGTGCATAGTAGGACCAGAATGCAGGGGAGAGGGCTGCTCTGTAAGGGCTCACAGGGCTTTAGGGCTTTCCTGAGCACCTGCAGGGGAGGACTGGGGTGCAGGAGAGAGGTGCTGCTCTGTGGGGGTACCTAGGACTTTGGAGCTTTCCTGAGAAAGTGATAGGACCAGGATTCAGGGGAGAGGGCTAATCTGTGAAGTTTCACAGGGCTTTGGGGCTTTCCTGAGCTAGCCTGCCAGGCAAGAATGCAGGGGTGAGTCCTGCTCTCCTGGTGGGTGTTGGAGCCACCTGATCAGGCCACAGGACAGGGGTGCAGAGACCCACGGTTCTCTGGGTATAAGTGGGGGCTTTCGGGATTATCTGAGCAAGGGGGAGTCTCTTGCTCCTCTGAGGGTAAGTGGGGGGTGAAGTGGGGGAGAACTCAGGGCCCTTCCTAGCACACCTGGGGATAGAGTCAAGCTGGTGTTCTTTTAGGAATGAGGGATATTTTGTGGGTATTGTCTGTATGACAAACAGTGAATATAAAGATCTAAAAGTAGAAAATATTTCCTGGTTTGTTCAGTTGTTAATCTCCCAGAAATTCTCATATTTTTGACCCCAGAAAGGGCAAGTCCTCAGCCCCTTCCCCTGACTCCACCAGTGAGGCCAGAGAAACTGCCCCCTGGGGCCTCGGAGCTGACTGCTCAGCAGCAGCATGGCCCACTCTTTGGGGTCAGTCCCAGCTCTTCTTAACCATGTGACCGTAGGACAGAAAAGCTCCAAGACTAGGTCTCCTCATCAGAGCCTGGGGCGATGACGCTGGGCTCAAACCCTGCAGGCTGGGCTGGTGCCCAGATGAGGACCCTGCCCCGGACACCTGGCTCCTTGTTGCGCTGGTTTAGGGCATGTTTTGATGAGCTGCAGTCTGAGCACCTGATGCTGTGGCTGGTCCTGGACTACTCTGCGGATGTCCTCTACAGCTTGGATGTGCTGGTGCGCGCCAGGACCGGTGAGTGTGTCCCCGACCAGGATCCTCTGGGCCCAGCCACAGGCCCCACATCAGGAGGGGTCCAGGGGACCAAGTCATGTTCAGGGAGATCTAGAACAGTAGGGTAGACTTACCCACCCCTGACGACGAGAGGCCAAGCAGGTCCGGGGATGCCTCAAGCTTCCTCTACAGTGACCCCTTGGACAGGATTCTGAGCAGGGGTCATGACACCTGGGCTCTGGGCTCTCTTATCCCAATGAGCTGTGTGACCCTGTGCAAGTCAAGCTGCCTCTCTGGGCCTCCTTTGCATCACCTGTGAAATAGGAAGGCCACGTCATCATTGTGAAGCTCCCCTCCAGCCCAGCTCACTGGGAGCAGGAAACAGAGCCCAGTCCCTCTTCTCTTGGACAGCTGTAGGACCCAGGATGTACTACTTGGTGGCTTTCAGAGGAGTATTCAATATGAAGACCTAAAATCTGGAACAGGGCATTCTACAGACAGCCTCTGGTTGCATCTGGGGGCTAAACTCCACCCCCTCCCCAGCCCCAAGCCATGCATCTTCAGGGCACCTTTTTCTAATTTGCACAAAGACATCACATAAGCTAGTGGAGGCCCTGCTTGTGACTTCCAAGATTTTTTAGCTAAAAACTGTTCCATAGTTGTCAATATAAGCACCACCAGATCACAGCAACAAGCCATGTGGCCCCGGTGACTTAGCCCGTCCTGGTGGTGGTCCACTCCACAGTCATGTAAGCCTCCCAAGGCACAGGAGCTCCCGAAGGTGCCCAGCTCATGTGGCCGACCAAGCTCAGTAGCACAGGTCACTCTGACTCGGACATCGGCCCCACCCTTCCTTATGCTTTAGTGCTGTCCCTGGCAGCCTAAGATTCAGCAGGAAGCCAGGAGCGAGGGGGCAGGTGGGTACAGAAACCAACTGGCTAATATTGGATTATATTCCGGGAGAGGGGAGGGGAACTCTTCAAGATTGAAAAAAGATGCAGTAAGGAAGAATGGAGGAGTCTCAAGGCACAAGGAGTGCCATGTAATGATCAAGGTTCCCAATAAACACGAGTGTAACCCAAGAATGAAATAGGAAATAGGGGGCTGGACAGCAGTGTCCCTAGCACGTGACAACAAACTTGGTGTTTGTTTCCCAGAGGGGGCAGCCCTACCTCCGTCTCCTCAGAGCGTGGCCGGTCAGGACCAGCAGCAGCCCCTGGGCCTGTGAGAAGAGCCCCAGCCCTAACCTGAGGGATAGGCTCAGCCCTCTGTGTCCCGCAGAGCCCTCGGGTGACCGCTGCTCACCAAAACCTTAAAAGCATTTTTTACGTTACTCTACTTTTGCAAGTGTTTAAAAATGTTAAAAAAAGAAGACAAGTATGCTCACTGGACTGATTTCACCAGTAATTATGCCTCATGACTCCCAACGTCCAGGCCAGTCTGATTTTTGGGGGGTGAGTTTCAGGCTTCCTGTGTTCCCAGAGCCCCTTGGATGACACTAGTGCGCAGCCAGGAAAGAGAACTACTGCTTTCCCAGATGGCGTCTCTAAGAGGCAGCTCCTGCCCCATAGTGACTGGCGAAATCAACTGCATAGACCATGCCTCGTGCTTTTAAAATTTTTATTAAATTTTCAAACATACACAAAGTCAGAGTGAGAAGTATTATGGATCCTCATTTACCTTCACCCAGCTTCAACAGTTATCAACATTTTGCTAATCTTGTTTCATCGACCTTTCTTGGCTAGAATATTTTAAAGCAAATCTCAGACAGTGACCCTTTTACCATGTATGTCTAACTTTAAAGGACCCATTAAAAAATATAACTCCCATTTATGTTTCAAAATTAAATAATCATTTCTTTCCATTTCTAATTCCCAATCCAATTCAAATGGACCCAACTGATCTGTATTTTCAATTGAATAAAATGGATTAGAACATCATAGACTAGTAAATATCAGGGCGCATTTCCTGTGGGAACGGCGAGTGTGGTTTTTGGAGTGGTTTCTCATATTAATGTATAACTATGTCTTCTGTTGTCACGTTGTGAAATATCTTCCTGTGCGCCACGGTCAAAAAAAAAAAATGCAGCCTCTTTGATGCCCAAGTGACCCCCGTCTCCTTTTTTTAGGCTTCCTCGAGCAAGGCTTGATGGTCAGGGATCCCAAGAGGCTGTGGCGACATTACACGAAGACCTTGCACTTCAAGCTGGATGTGCTGTCCCTTGTCCCCACGGACCTGGCTTATTTTAAGCTGGGCATAAACTACCCAGAACTGAGGTTCAACCGCCTACTGAAGTTCGCCCGGCTCTTCGAATTCTTTGACCGCACGGAGACCAGAACCAGCTACCCCAACGTGTTCCGGATCGGGAACCTGGTGCTGTACATCCTCATAATCATCCACTGGAACGCCTGCATCTACTTCGCCATCTCCAAGTTCATTGGCTTCGGCACGGATTCCTGGGTCTACCCCAACGTCTCCAACCCAGAGTACGGGCGCCTCTCCAGGAAGTACATTTACAGTCTCTACTGGTCCACCTTGACCCTGACCACCATCGGAGAGACCCCGCCCCCTGTGAAAGACGAGGAGTACCTCTTCGTGGTCATAGACTTCCTGGTGGGAGTCCTTATTTTTGCCACCATCGTGGGCAATGTGGGCTCCATGATCTCAAACATGAATGCCTCTCGGACTGAGTTCCAGGCCAAGATTGACGCCATCAAGCAGTACATGCAGTTCCGCAAGGTGACCAAGGACTTGGAGACACGGGTCATCCGCTGGTTTGACTACCTGTGGGCCAACCGGAAGACGGTGGACGAGAGGGAAGTGCTCAAGAGCCTCCCGGACAAGCTGAAGGCCGAGATCGCCATCAACGTGCACCTGGACACCCTGAAGAAGGTCTGCATCTTCCAGGACTGTGAGGCGGGGCTCCTGGTGGAGCTCGTGCTGAAGCTTCGGCCCGCAGTGTTCAGCCCTGGGGACTACATCTGCAGGAAGGGGGACATCGGGAGGGAGATGTACATCATCAAGGAGGGCAAGCTGGCGGTGGTGGCTGACGATGGGATCACCCAGTTTGTGGTCCTCAGTGATGGGAGTTACTTTGGGGAGATCAGCATCTTAAACATCAAGGGGAGCAAGTCAGGGAACCGCAGGACGGCCAATATCCGGAGCATCGGTTACTCGGACCTGTTCTGCCTTTCCAAGGATGACCTGATGGAGGCGCTCACCGAATACCCTGATGCCAAGAAGGCCCTGGAGGAGAAAGGACGGCAGATCCTGGCGAAGGACAACCTGATCGACGAGGACCTGGCCAACGCCGGGGCAGACCCCAAGGACATCGAGGAGAAGGTGGAGCGCCTGGAGTCCTCCCTGGACACCCTCCAGACCAGGTTTGCACGGCTCCTGGCCGAGTACAGCGCCACCCAGATGAAAGTGAAGCAGCGTCTCAGCCACCTGGAAAGCCAGGTGCAGCTCTGTGGGAGCAGCCCTCGGCCTGACGGGGTCGCTCTAGAACCAGAGACCAAGCAGCAGTGAAAATGCAGAGGCCTGTCTCCTGCCTCTGGGCCGGAGTCAGCTGTCAGTGTGATGCTATGGAGCCCACAGGGCAGGGGACGTGGCAGGGTGACAGTCCAGCTCTCCTTGCCCTTTGCAAGCTGTGTGGACTTGGCAGAGAGCCTTGGCTTCCTCACCTAGAAAGTGGAGCCCATCATGTCAGCCCCGGTCCAGGGCAGGCCACTACAAGGTCCACACGGAACACTGCGTGGGGCAGGGCTTGGTAAAGTGTGAGGTGTCCCCAGTCCAAGCATACAGGAAAGCGTGGGCACTGAACTCTTATTTTTTACCCCTGCGGAATTTTTAGATGCCTGAACCTTCCCTTTGTTATGAATGAAAGGTGATTTAGTCTCTCTCTCCCTCCCTCTCCTCTCTGGCACCTCCCTCCACCCCCTACCTGTGGGGGAGACTGACAGGGGCTCGAGGTAAGAGGCAGTAACTGCTCACAGCACCTCACCAGAGGCCCTCTGAGGCCAATTCCTGAACCTGGTACCTCCCCACGGGCTCTTTGGGACCCTAGAGACCCAGGCCTGTGGTGGTGCTGTGACAAGCACAGGGTGAAGCAAGGTCACCCATCAGAGGTCACTTCAAGTCTGTGACGCAAATCCAGACGCCCTGCCACCCAGCCTCTGTGAAACCGGAATCTGTTTCACGGAGAGAAAAAAAAAAAAGAAAAGAGCATCTCAGCTGGGGAAGGAGATCTCTCCTAATTTGCCAAAGGGATTAAAATTCAGCCTCTCTCACCCTTGCATGGGGCCCTGGGGGGCCTCTCCTGGCTGGAGGAGGAGAGTGATGCTTAGGGGAGAGCCTTTCAGGTTGGTGGCCATGGGGTTCCCAGCCAAACACAGCTGACAACTGGGACTCCAACAAGATGAGATCCTTAGGCCACGTCTTTGCAAACTGCCCAGGGACGCCTTGCCCTCCGTCAGAATTACATCCTGAGGCAAAGCTCTTAGCTTGCGAAGGGCATAGAATGCAGAATGTAGCTTTTAAACAAATCCAGTAAGTAGAATTCCATTAACATTTTATAAGATACTTAAACATTTGGGTTCTATGATTGCAAATTATAACCTTAATGGTCCACCGTCTGCTTAAATACGCTTTGGAAATAACCCCAAGAGGACTCCTCTCCTGATGCAGACAAGCCATGCGGGCAGGTTTTCCTTCTTTTCTCTGCAATCTCTCTCCCTCTCCCTCTCTCTCTGTGCCTCTTCTTTCTTCCCCTCCCTCCATCCCTCCTCTTCCTGTTCCCCCTCTTTCCTCCCTCTTCTCAGGAAAAATGCCCCATTTTGCTTTGGCCACTTTGAAGTCACTGTGGCCTGATGTTATGATCCATATGCCACGCAGCTGGGCCCTTTATACAAAAGGTGCTGCATTTTCAAGTATGTGTTTTGGGTTTTTATGGGTCTCTTCTGGTTTTTATTATGAATCATTTAACCATTTTAACTTTTAAAAAAATATATCTTTATTGATTTCAGAGAGAGGAAGGAGGAAGAGAGAGAGAGAGAAACATCAATGATGAGAGAGTCATTGATCAGCTGCCTCCTGCACGCCCCTGACTGGGGACCTAGCCCGCAACCCTGGCATGTGCCCTGACCGGGAATTGAACTGCGATCTCCTGGATCCTAGATCGATGCTCAACCACTGAGCCATGCCCGGCCGGGCTAACCATTTTAACTTTTAAAAATAAATTTAAAAGGTCTATTAAAGGAAGTATGATCCAAGCTCATATCATTAGCAAAATGCAACTAGCAATGTATTTTCAAAATGCATATATTTTAAAAGCCTTAACTAATAAATTATGCCTCTATTCCTATTTGCACAGGAAAAATAAAGACCTGGATTAAAAAATATTGAGTGACTCCTGCTTCATATTTTTTCATATTTTGTCATAAGGGAAGATGCAGCCCTGAGGTGTGTTTCTAGGGCCAAGACCTGGCTACTCCAGCAAGAACAGGTGCTGACGAGCAGGGGACGGCACAGCAGGGGATGGCACACACTCCTGCGAGGGCGCACACAGGCAGGAACAGGTGAGAAAATGCAACCACAGCTGCTGCGTTCATCAGAGTGAAGAAGTTAAAGCACTCAGATATATGCAAAGTGTATCCCTGGGGGTGCTAAATGTGCAGGCATCCTTTGTCCGGGATCATCATGGGGGGGTCAGGCACTCTGGGAAGGATGAATAGACAGGATGCTGGAGAAAGCCTGGGAAGTACAGCCCCAGCTTTCCCACTGCTTATGCCCAAGGAGTCTCAGTAACTTAGTAAGTTGGAAAGTGGCATGTCAAGCCTGCTCTTGTTCAAGTCACCACCTGGCCACTCGGGCAAATTATTTTATCTTTAGGCCTCATTGCTCTCACCTGAAAAAGAGGAATGACACTGCCCACGTCAGAGGTTTGTTGTGAATGAACACACTGTTTTCCTAGGGGGGTAAATGAATAGTTTCAGCTAGCTAGCCTCCCACTGCCAACATGGTTGGGAAGCTGAGTCTCCGGTTGTTGTCAGGACTCCTGTTCACTGACTTGGAACCTGAGATAGGGTCTGTGGCCTCCCAGCGATTGTGGCTGCCACCAGAGGTCACCATCAGAATCCAGGCTGGGAGACAGCTTCTCATGGAAGTGTGTATATCTCCCTGTGTGTGTGTGTGTATGGAGAATCCCTGAGACAGGAAAGGAATGGACCAAGGCAGGTTCCCAGGCAGAACCCTGGGGAGGTAAGAGGTGGTAGGACCTCAAGTGAGGGCTGGAGCTTTGCTTTGTGGAACCCAGCCTGGCAAACATTCCAGTGCCTGGAGCTTGGAAAGTCCCAAAGCTATTAGAACTCAAGGAACCAGGCCCAGCTGGACAAAGGGTATCTTGGCAGTAACCACTATAAAGAATGTCTGGAAATATTTGTAACTCAACTGCTCCAA